CTTCTTCCTTATCTTCTCCTTCCTCCGGCCTTTTTTTGTTTTTTCTTTTACCTCCAAGCGAACCCAGGAGCCTGGGTTCACAAGGAACCCAACTCACGAGTTCGTGACGAACCCAAGAGCTTAGGTCCGTAAGGAACCCAGCTTTCGAGTTCGCGACAAAGGCCTATGGTAGAAAGAAGAGAGTGATATTTGGTTTTTCAGTCAATCCCAAATGGAACATTAAGATAAAATTTGGCATCTAAACATCTAAAAATTGCAAGGCTAATTATTTTAAGGAATAACAGATCTGCCCATCTTTCTACCAAAACTGTGCTTCACAAAGGTAACTTCGAAGGAAAATTGTAAAACAGATAGTGACTAGATCACAAAAAGTTCAACATATTATCATTGATTAGAGCATGATAAGAATTTTGTGAAGAGAAACAACTTTAAAATTTGACCATACATTAGAGCAGCAACTCAATTTTTTGGATTCAAAAGTCTGGGAAGCAAGTTTGTTACCACAAACGGAATAAGCCAAGAAATGCCTACTCCACTTTGTCGAGCAACAATAGTAGTTGGTCCACCCAAAGAAGGGATCAAAAAAACCTTAATCAAATGTTCTGAAATTCTCCAAATATCATCTTCCTTCTTTTCAAATTCTTGTTTTTTGTTCATAATCAATCCTTTACATGTGAGTTCAATCAAGATAAAATTCTCAGATTTTCAATCCTTTCTTTATCTATTAACCTATGTCATGTATGACCCAACTTATAAAATTCATAGTAACATAATCGCAACAACATGAACCTATCACTAGTAGTTTCAAACTCAGATATCAAACACAAACCCAGAACTTAACATCTCTAATTCAAAACCAAACATGAAATTTTAGTTTCAATTTCATTTAGCTTAGATATATTCAAAATAAAAAAAATGAAAAAAAAGGGATCGGAACTCAGAACTGGGTTTCAAGAGGGATGATGAAGAAGGATGATGACGAGGGATGATGAAGAGGATGACAAAGAGAATGGCGAGGATGAGGATGAGGAGAAAGAAGAAGATGAAGAAATTATAGTTAATTTTGTTTAAATTCACTTGATTTATGAATTAAAAAATAAAATTTTTAATTTGTACATGTGGCACAAAATGCTTACATCTATCTATAATTTTATCTACCTAATTTCCATAATT